AGCGACAGGCACTAAAAATCCTCAGTGGTGGAGGCAGTGATGATCAGGTGCAGCAGCTTGCAAGGGGGAAGAATGTCTGCTGTTGGTTTTAGTCATGAGCATCATCCCTGTAATTTCATGGGATTATTACAAATACTCAAGCCGGCTAAAGCAAGCAAAGGGGTTTCTTCCAGGTATATCTAGCCTTAAAGTACAGGTTGCAAAAAGAGTGGCTGCCAGTGGCTTTTCCTTCGGGCTGGCTGGTCGCATGCCACCTTCCCAGGCACCTTGTGCAGTGATGGAGCGCACAGCTGGTGGCTCAGGGCCTTTCCTGGAACGGGCATCCACCCACTGGTCCCTGGTCCAGCTGAAAGCCAGCTGGAAGAAGGCCCAGGCAGCCCCCCAGTGCAGGCGAAGGGCAGAAGGGCAACAGAGGCCCAGGCAGCCCATGTATCCACACATCTAGCAGAAATCCCCCTGCCATTCCGAGCTCTTGGTCAGGGAGCATTATGGGGGCAGTTTGCAGCCTCCTGAGACGCTAGCCTCCTCCAGGGGAAGGAGGCATGCAGCCCTGATGATGCTGTTGGACTGCAGTTCCCATCATCCCTAGCCAGCATAGCCATCAGCGAAGTACAGTATAACAGCACCTGGAGTGCTGCATGTTCCCCATCCCTGGGGTAGGCCATGGGTCCAAATTCAGAAGTAAGCCAGGCAAGCCCGACTCTCATCCAGGTCCTTCCAGATGTTTTGGACTTGCAGCTGGCCCAAGGACAAGATGGTAACCCTTCCTCCAATGCCATGAGCAGAAACCACCCAGAGAGTTTTGGCTATGGGTGGTACACAAATGGTATTAATAATAGTAATTTTTTTCACATACTTCCCTAAATACGTGGAATTGTTGTAATTGTTCTCTGATGTCAATGCAGCATGGCTCAATCATTCCTTTTCTTTTTGCTGTTCCTCAGTTGCCCTGTCCCCATACTGGGGATGATGGGATGACTCATGGGCAGAAGGCAGTGGGCCTCCAAGGAGGTGTGGACAGGGGAAGGGAAGCCCTGTCCTGACTTGAGAGAGCCAAGTGTTGGAAGGAGAGTTGAGCATTGTCGTCATGGCAGCACTGCCGATGCCACACCCCAATCCTTCCCTAGAGTGGTACCCTGCGGATATTTTAGACTACAACACCCATCAACCCAGGATAGATGAGAACGATGGGAGGTGTAGTTTGACATAAGCTGGAGGGCACTGCATTGGGGAAGGATGGTAGAGACACTTCTGAATTAGGAGGATGGATTGTGTGACTTGGTAGAAGGAAGCTTATCCGTTTTCTACCCAGATCTTTGCATCTTAATTTTGTATTGAAACATTTATGGGTGAAAATTTTCTTACTCATATGGTCATGTAGAGCATTTTCTGTGCAAGTTGCAGGATTGTTGTTTTTTTCTGTTGTTTTCCCCAGCAGTCTGCCATGGGTTGCTAAGGTTAAGGATCTATCAGCTTCCACAGAATTAGAGAAAATTATTCCAAAATTGAAACCTTTTTTTTCGTTAAGGGAGTGGTTCAGTCTTAAGAAGCACACCCTTCTTTTGTTTTCTGACTTCTTTGTCGGCTTTTAAGGAACAGGCTGCCACTAGGGGTCACTATTTAACATTTATGCCTTGAGTTCAGAAAGCAATAGCTCTGCTTTATCACTGGGTGACATTGTTTGCCACTCGTCTCTTTTCCACCCAGGATGTTATGAAATGTTACATCCAGACAAAATGAAACACAAACAGAATAATAAACCCCCATCCAAATGTCATCTGTGAGCTTCCAAAGAAACAGAAAGTTCAGGTCAAATGCCACCTTCAAATGAAGAGACGTCAGAAATTTGTTTCAGTTTGGTTTGTGAATTTACCAATATTCGCACATTTCTCCATAGTTGGGACAAAAGCCGTTTTGAAGGGGAAATCTGAACATTGATGGATGTGTCCGCCCAGGCCCAGTGTTGGACTTGACCCAACTGGCTTAAGATCAATATAACAGAATGTTATCAGCTGTGTATTAAATTAGCATAATAGAATGCTTTGTGTATTGAGTAAGCATAATAGAAGGCTTCATGTATTAAAATAGCCTAATAGAAGGTTTATCAGTTACCCCATGCATATACAGAGTGTTACTTTAGCAAATGGGCAAGTTTCATCAAAGGCGTAAAACTTAAAAGGATAGACTAACTGCAAAGCCGCTCCGCTTTTTGTATCGGAAAATAGACTAACTGCAAACCGTCTCGCTTCTGTATCATGCTAGCTTGCTTTAGGCTGCCAATAAACAATTTTCCATTTGTTTGTAACCTGGTATAAAAATTCTGCTTTCCCTCTGCAGAGGGCCGGCACTCAATCCCACCCTTGTGAGATTGTGCTGGTCCCTGTGCAGGCAATAAAATCTGTTCTAAAAATACCAACTGGTCTCTGGTCCCTCTAAAACTGTGGGATACAACACCCAGCGCTCGAAGGGGTTTGCACCTCTGCATCTGGGTGTGAATCATGCTGGCGCTTTGTTAGCGTTGCCCGCCTCTTTTTCCCCACAGGCGCCTCAGCTTTCTGTTATATGACCAGCAGGTAAACAACAGGTAAACGATATGGCCCTCTCCGTATTGAATATCTCTTGAATTTGGCTACTGCAGGAGGGTGAGAATTCTATTTAACTTTGTTTTTTAAAAGCATTTACCAACATGAGCACAGTGCTTCATATCTGGGAGAGAAAGAACCTTAGATTTAAAAAAATGCCGATCTGGGAGAAAGCAAAAGTGACAGGTCCAGACAATGCCATTCTTAGGCACAAGACAATAAACAAATTGATTGGTAGGGTCAACTTGGTTCAACATCGCCTCCGTAAAACTACAGGGATGCAACCTATGTGTCCTGTCATTGCTAAAGGGAAATAATGATCGTGCCCATAAGCACAGGAAACTGACAACAGTGTTTCTCCTGAAATAATGGACATTAGTGCCAGATCATTATGCCATATCCAGGGATGGGATGAGGCGGATGTTACATTTGTTTTGCTTCCTGTGGGCATGTGCCTAACTGAGGAAGTCTGAGGCCACCCTGTAGAGATAATTTTCACTGGGCGAACCAGTCCTTTGACTCTGCTGCAGAATATAACTTTTTAGGGGAGGTGCAGCAAGGCCTAGCAAGCCTTGTGGGCAGGAAAGTCACATGGTATGGCCTTGTGGAGGACTCTGGGCTGGTTAACCCTAGAGCAGATCCAGGCAGTGGAATCCTGAAATGGCAGATGAGACCATTTCCGATTTCAGGTGGGGAAAGCGCAACTTTGGGTGGCTCCCATATCAAGCAAATGGAAAGCTCAGGGGGCCGCTTTAAAGCAGAAACGGCTCTCTCTCGCTCCCTACCCCACACACACAGAGCATGAAAAATACGGTCTCACACCTAAGTCTGAACTAGGGATCTGGAGGAATCCCTTTTGAGGTGGGCTTCTGCTTGCTCCCCTGGGCTCGGCTCCCAGACTCCGGTCCGCCGTGTCTCAGCCCCGGGTCCAAGTTTCCCAGGAATGGAGCCCCACATGCGGCTCTAGGGGAGTCCTCCTTCCACATCATGCACTGCAGCATTTGTGCTGGTGTTTGCACAACCTTTGCTCTGTGAGTGTTTGTGGACTTCCTTTTGGCATGGCTCTCTTTCTAAGACTGGGCCAAACATGAGAGGAAGCCCGCAAATGCAAGAGGGATGGATTCTGGGGAATTTCATGCCAACCCTTATCCAAACTGGTATAGTCCATTGCCCATCCCAAGACATGCGCTGGCACCGTTTCCTCTGCACAGGGAGACTGGACCTCACAGAGGTTCAGTCACAACTAGTCATCCTTGTGTAACTGAGAAGAGACCAAAGGAAGCTGGAAACACAAATGCAAGACAGAATCCAAGTGCATGCATGCAGTTTATTGGAAATACAGAAGAGGATTAGTGTTCTTAACAAGAAGCAAAGTGTAGGCAATGACATTACAACTGTGCAGATACAGAAAATACAAGACATCCTCATCAATCCTTAAATAGACTAGTAGTGCATGCATTGAAGTGTGGCCAAAGCATATACCAGTGCTTAATTATTGCAATCAGAGCTAAAACCAGAATTTCACACAGCACAACTAAAGATTCCTATTACATCCTTTCAGTTTCAAATGCTACTTTGGTGTCTGAAACTCTGCCCCTGCCAGCAAAATCTGTGCATGGATACATGAGCAACACGGATATACACAAGCCGCACCCACCCACTACTCACCCCCACCTCAAAGCTCTTAAAGAGTCGGACTGTAATTAAAAACTGCAGATTTTGAGTGCAGCTTCTAACCACCTGGCACTATAAATTCAGCCTCACCCGATGTGTTGCAGGTCAAGATGGAAACACGCTGTGATTTATAGTAAAGTAAGTGATCTAGCATGATGAGAACATGTGTGCGAAAGGGTTCAGTAAAAATAACTCTTTATATAGAAATATATAAATCCGTTCCTGAGTGAGAGTGAGGGCGAGAGATAGGTGTTATTTCTAATCCCATCTTGGGCAGTTCAGGCATCACTTCCCTTTCTGAAATGTTTTGCCAGGCTCTGTAGAATGGGGAAGAGTTCTTGCATTCAAATACAGTGGGCGCCAGTTGAGCCTTTTCCAAAAGACTCAGGATTAAGGAATGGGGGAAGATTTTCCAGAAGACTCAGGGCTGGAGGAAAAGCATGGAAGGAGCAAGGGAGGCGATTTGCTCGAAGAGCCAAAATATCTCCCAAAGACAGCTGTTGCCATTGAACTCAAGCTACAGGATTTATTTATTTATCTACAACTTTACTATACCATCCCATACTTATGCATCGCAGGACAGTTTGCAACGGTGGGATGTCATTCTGATGGGCATCAGTGGGCTATGTTTATTTGCTTGTTTTCGGCATAGGTCTGGCATAGCTTTTTTGTTAGTGCACGGATGCTTCTGGCCATGAATCAAACGATCCACCCAGCTGCCCACAGGCAGGGCGCATGGAGGTTTTAGTAGGCACATTTTCGGGCTGAATTGGTGATAGTTGTAACATGCACGCTCCGAACACCAGTGGGGCATTCGCCATGCGAGCTGCCATACTGCGCTCCGTGGATGCCTCCCCCAGACCCAGCACCACCGCTGTGCACTCCGATCCCAGAGCCTCCAATCCCGCAGGCCATGCCACTGTAGCCCCCGGAGGCACCCATGATGCTGCCAGCTCCCCCTGTCGTGTGATGGATCCCGCTGTGGTGACCACTCACGCAGCTCCCGTCCACAGAGAGGCCTGAGCTGTGCCCTCCACCCCCAGAAGTCACCACGTGCTTAGCAGTGGTGATGCTGGAGCCGTAGCCCCCGCTTTTTGAGCTAAACCCTCCTGTAGTTCCCACTCCAGCACCCTGCCCGACCCCATAAACCACTCCCGATGCCCTGCCAGCCGAGCCGCTTCGGGAGCCCATGCTGTGGACACAGTTGCCAGGGCCGAACCCTTCGGCCATGCCCCCAAAGGTGCCGACGCCGTGCTCTACCCCTAATCCTGCAGCCGCGCCGTAGGACACCCCAGCTCCCATGCCGGGGGCACATTCGCCAACCGGGTAGCCTCCACTGAGCAGAGCTGCGAGGAAACAGACAAACAGGCTCTCTTATTTTGGGGGACCATGTTCCACTCCCAAAGAAACAAAGCCCCCGGGATGTGACTTCGAGCAAGAGTGAACCTTGCGTATATACTCACCAACACTGACTGGGTTCCTTACACCTACCCTGTCAGGAAGAGAAAGGCAAAAGGGATTCAGTATATCCCGCAGCTGAAGATCCTTGTTGACGTGCGTTTTGAAAAGCATGGTATTGAGAATAGGTTATTTCAGTGGTTTTATGTAGACAAGGCCCCTAGATTGCTGAGTAGACAAGACAAGATGTAGACCAGACCCTGTCAGGCAGGGTCTCCATTTAAGTGGCTCTAGCAAGTATCAAACGAGAGAGAGGTCCCCTGTCAGAGACCTGAGTTCAAGTTCTACTCACAGTAGATGGAACAACAAATATGAGATCAAGCCTATCAACTAGGGTTGGATTCCATATTTAAACTGAAGAAACACCACATCTTATAATTTGGTAGATTTGCATACTTTGGCTATATTCTGAAACCTCTTGGATGGCCATGGGAGAGGTCAGTGTCAGCCCCACCTTGGAAACTGGCTCCAAGGTCAGAGCTGGGATGCCAGCACTGGGGAACCTTCCCCCACCCGCACAGCTGGCCCAGCTCTTTCTTTCTGACTGCTTGTGGCTCCCCGGTTGAAAAACAGACCTCTGAGCCAGAGGTTTGGGGGTGTGCTAAGAGGCAGGGGGGAGGTGAAGTGAGGCTCTGCTGTATGTTGGCAGTGCTTCAGCCTGTCCTTCTAGCACATCTGACACGAAAATTAATTGGCCCAAATCAGCTGTCTAAGACGTTTTCGGGGCTGAAGAAGTGCACAGGTGGCTTTCACCAGGATGCCTTTAGGGATCCAGGCAGTTGCATGAGATGACGCTTCAGAAAAACCATTCTGCTCATAGCCAAGAGGGATAAAAACCCATTCCTGTTAGAGATGAGAGAATCGGGGATACTTGGCTTTCTGAGGTTCTCCAAGCACCACCCAAAAGCTCCTTTCAACTTGCTCCCATTTTCATTTGCAGCCTAGTTTTGTTCAAATATGGGAGAACAGAGCCTTTCTAAAGAGAAACAAGCATTTTCTCCCATTGATAAAAAAGAATTAAAGTGCCCATTTTTCAAAAGAAATGAATTGTTCTGATGTGATCACAAGCTTGGGAGCTTTTTTTAACACACACAGACAAACACCTCCCCACTCATGCTTGTGTGTGGCTGTGAATGGGGTGAGGCCTGATGGTTTGCAAAGCGAAGTTACATTCCTGCACATTCCTATTCCTTGATCCCAAAGTTCAGCCTTTGGACCCCTGAGAACTTTTCTCTGCCTTCTGAGGTTTCATAGAGCAATATGCACATGATTCAGACTGGTTTTCTCACAGGGGGCTGGAAACTTTAAGAAGAGACTAGCAGGGTGATGAACTGGGTATCCAAGAGCAAATCCTCTACTTGGTTGTTGCAAGCCCAGCCTTAAGGGTGATGGTCCGCTGGGCCTCCTGGCCTCAAGGAATGGATGATCTCACCTATTCCCTGCCCAGCCTTCCCCTGCAGTGCTCCGAATGCCAGCTTCCCGCCCCATTTTTGGCATCCTTTAGAGCCCAATCCCATGCACGACTGGTTGGGGAATGGTGAGGGTTGTAGGGCTTTTTTCTGTCTGAGCACAAATAGGATCACTCCCTCTCTTTCAAGTGAGTTTTCAAGAAATGCCCCACCTGCTCTCCTCTCCCTCCAGTAGGGCCTTATAGGTTTCAATCTCGATATCCAGGCCCAGCTTGATGTTGAGCAGTTCCTGGTAATCCCGGAGCAGGCAAGCCAGCTTGTCTTTGGACTGCTGGTAGGCTGTCTGCAGTTCGACATGTTTATTGCGGGCATCTTTCAGGGCAATGTCGCCGCGCTGCTCAGCATCGTAGATCACTGACTGCAGGTTGGCAACCTGGGAAGCAGGGAGGAGAAGAAAACGAAGGAGCAGTCAGCCTTGAAGGGGTTTTAGAAGACAGGGCATAAAAACAATGGACAGCAGCATCCACAAGGTGCCCTGCCATGCCGGTGAGTTAGTCGTCATAACATCAGCTTTCCTCTTTCATTGTTGCAGCTTGTGTACGTGGAGGCAAGTGACTGGACTCAGCACTGGGAAGGGAGGGGAAGCACGCAGGAAGGTGGACTGGTCTCCCGTACCATCAGGTGCCTTTTGTTCCGGCAGCTTCTCACTGAGGGCACCAGGTTTTTGCCATTCCCAAATCTATTCTCATGTACCTTTGAACAAATTTGCACTTGTGCTAATTTTTGCTTCTGAAAATCTGCAACTCTCCCCCAAAAGCATATTTTCATGCTTTAGCCTGTACCTGTCATTTGAAAGAATATTTTTCTGCAACTAAATTTGTATAAAATGCCAGAAAGTTAGATAACTAAATAAATGAATGAACAGAGTCATAATTCAGGCCAAGCTGGCCTCCTGAGGAAACCTCGGGTCAGAGTCATAGAAATCTGAACTCATTTGAATCAATTACAGATTTCTGTGAAATCCCATTTTACGTATATGCAGGTTTCCCCAACCCTAGTATGCTCCAGATGTTTTAGACTCCAATTCCCCTCATTTTGGTCCCTAGGCCGGACAGGGCTGAGGGACTGTGTCATCAGAAGCATCTCAGATCTGGAGGGGAAGGCTGTTGTAATATTTAGGGGCCCAGCAGTGGCTTTGCTTGCAGAAGCGCCAGGTTCAGCCCTGAGCATCTCCAAGCAGGGCCAGCAAAACTCCTGCCTGGAGCCTGGCGAGCCCTTGCTGCCAGTCAGTGTTGGCAAAACTGGGCTAGATGGACCAAAACTGCAGATCAGTACACAGCGGCTTCCTATGTTCCTAGAATGTTGCTTCTAATGACTAAATGTTCCTCTCAAATGGATTTTCCCAGGCCGAGGATGGAATAATCTGCCCTTCTGCCAGGTGACAGAGCAATGTCTTTCATTGCTGATCTTCATCTCCTGCTTCCAGTTGCAACTTAGGCTGAAATCCTTTAGTCTCTTACCTGCAGGAAAACAAGGCCATTCAGAGGTGAGGAAAAACAAGAAGGATGTCCTACCTGCTTCTTGGCATTTTCTATATCATTGTGGAGTCTCTGGGTAGCTCGGTTGAGCTCTGCAATCTCGTGCTGGTTACGCTTCAGCTCTTCGTTGTATTTGCCTCGATTGTGCTGAATCTCTGCAATCTAGTAAATGGACAACATGATGACGAGTGTTACTGCTTACCCCCACTGGGACAGTTGCCGATGTGTCAGGGTCAGGAACCAGGGCTTCATCTCTAGCTTTTCTAGGAGAAAGACCAAGGACAGCATATTTGCTGAATCACACCAGCTTGACTCTGCATTTCTCTAGGCATCACTTAGACCTTTTTACCAAGGGGATATACATGGATGAACATGTGATGCTCAGATGCATGGAATTGTCTGCTTGGATTCTACTGGCACAGTCCTCTCAAAATTAAGTTTTGTATTGTGCCAGGTACAGTCACAGCAGGTGCAGTATAAATGATCGAGGATGAAGATGGCTTAACTTAGACAAGATTCAAGTGGGATTCTAGCATGCCTGCTGCAGGAAAGGTCCACTTATCTCTGAGAAGTCATGCATGGGATCATGCCATAGCCCCATTTCTTTCCAATCCATGGGATTTGGGCTGCATGCCTGTGCACATGTCCATAGGAGTAAGTCTTATTAAATGTGCTGGGCCTTATTTCTGAGTAAACATGGAACTGATCGCTCGGTATTCATAACCAACTTTTTTTAGACTATGCCCCAGATCTGAAGCACAGTCAGTGATGTCTGAACTCATGACTGTCTTGCCTGCATTCATTTTTTGCTTCAGGCTTTCTGGGGTGGAGGTCCGGATCTCACATTATAAAATTTACAGAACCTTCCCTTCCCTTCCCCTCAAAAAAATACCAAGCCCTGATCCATGACTTCAAATTTGGGAAACTTGTCCAGTTCGGAGTACATGTCAGTTTTTATAGATATGTTCCTGTGAATGGGAAAGGTCTGGTTTGGCTTGTGGAGAAAGTCTATGATGCAAAGCCTGGCAGCTCCTCCTTTGCCCACAGACGTCAGCAAGGCCTTAGCGGTCCCAATCAGCATCAGAGCACGCTAATCCTGATTCAAAGGCCGTAAGAAAAGTTCACCCTCAAGTCATGGGAAATTTAGGGGAGTGGCTTTGCTTCAGGGTGGGAGGCGTCCATGGAGTGGTGGGCTCAGTGCTGGTGTTACGGCTGCAGTGCTGTCACACTCACGGGCACTGGAGCAAGGGCACACGTGGCATTTGCACAAACGCCCTGCAGGCCGTGCTCCTGATCACCATGGCTCAACCAACTCGGGGAGAAGCCACGTTCTCCCAGCCGTTACGATCCATTGCAGTTTACGCGATGGGAACATGTGACCCCCTTCGCACAGATGAGGCAAGCGCCTCAATCCATCCCCATGAACAAGAAGCAACCGCGCGCGTGTCATTTCATACTCCCGCCATCTGGGAAGGGTCCTGCCGTGGGTCAGTCCCGGCCTTCTGAACAAGAATTACCTTGCTATGGTAAAAGGCTTCAGCTTCTTGCTTGCTGTTCTGAGCGATGTTCTGATACCAGGCTTCCACGTTCTTAAGGATGAGGTCTGTGTTCAGGTCTCGCGTGTTGTCCATCTTCAGAACCACGGAAGTGTCACAGATTTGGCACTGCAGATGACTTAGCTCCTGCAGAACATGGTGCCGCGTCATTCCTGCATCACCTGCGACAACCACCCTGACAGTACGGCCTAAATTCCTGTTGGCAGGTGATGGCCAGGTAAAGCAGGGGTTCCCCCTTTGGGAAGCACACCTTAATGCCGTGAGAGGGCCAGGAAGCTAAGAGCGAAATGGGATTCCGCTAGGCTGATTTGCTCCAGACCTTCCAGCAGCCCCATGGGACAGTGGTGGAGCACGATCAGCCCCCGTCTTGAAGGCTTTGCCGGCTTGCCCCACCCCCGCCCCAGCCACAACTCCCAGCACCTCACAGACAGCATCAGAATTGCAGTCCAAAACACGGGGAGGGCACCAGATGCATGGAGCTGCCATATTGTATGGAGGCACCCAGTAAGAGAGTGTCCCGTTTCTTTGGGGCATATTTCCCACTTGGATTGCTATGAGCTAGAAACTTACCTCTGCAAAGATGCATCTCAGGACTTCCAGTTCCTGTGCTAACACACCTACTTTAGAGTCCAGCTCTTCTTTGCTGAGGAAGACACAGTCAACATCCTGGAGACGGGAGAAGAAGACATAAAACATTGGGTTTAAAGGAAATAAAAACTGGTAATAGGGATTTTTCTTGAGTCCATTTGGTTCCTTTTGCCCTGGAGTTTGCAGTTTCATTACATTATAAAGCTGAAACTATGGCAGGCTGGATACAGGTTCTTAGATTTCTTAGCCCTATAAAATCACAAGAAATTAGCTCACAAGCTTTCCATATATACAGAATTAGCTTCCTTCCAAATAAGCATTTGCAGGCTTAGCCACAAAGTCTTCTGGATTAGCCAGGCCATTAAAACATTACACAAATTAAAACACTGGTTGCTTTCCTGCCATCACAGTTAGAAGGTTCTCACACTGGGAGCAGCAGTTCTGCCTAATTTTAAACACGTACATTAAAATCTTGCAATATTTTAAGGATGTGATCCTGGGTGGGTTCAGACAGGAAGAAATGCTACAGTTTCCATCCCAGTCAACAACAGAATTGCACCCTAAATGGCTGATTGGTCCAGTAATCCAGCAATCTGACCCAGGTGGATCAAAAGAAGAGCCACTTTTGAGCGCATTTGCCCATGATGCAAAATGGGATGGTAGAACCATGGTCCATCTTGCTTCAGAAACCACACTTTAGGGTGTGGGTTGTATATTTAAATATTTTGCCTGTACAAAACTCCTTCCATGTAAACTAAGCAGCAGAGAGGAAGACCATTCTCTCTCTCTCTCTCTCTCTCTCTCTCTCTCTCTCTGTGATGATTTGTTATAAGAGGTAAGTTTTGTTTCTGAGAGAGAACAGGAAAAATCAGACTTTCACCATCAACAACATTCTGATGTGGTAAAGCTGGTTAACCTCAATTCTTTTGCCTTTTTTAAAAAGCTCGCCTTTGCTCCAAGGAGCTTGAGATAGAATAGATTGCTCCCTGCTTTTTATCCTCACAACAACCCTGTGACATAGGCAGGTTTGAGAAAATAGAGTCAGGGGAAGGACCTCCCCCCCCCCCCATTTTGGACTAACCTGGCTCGTGAGGAGGGTAGTGACTCAGGAAGGCCTTCTCCCTTGAAGAAGCACGGCCAGGTGAAAAGAGTGTAAGTTGCCAACTACCCTGAGCCACACAGGGGTGACTCTGCCCTGACCCATTCAGGGGATAGGAAGCCTCTTCCTTGTGGCAGCATCTCACACAGCTGGGATCCGCTGCTGCTCTTGCTGTGCTGCCTAAAGGAGCTTGGTGACTGATGGAGCTCCACTGGCTCTCTGGTGTTTGCAGCTGTTTGTGATTATTAGCAGTCGTGGTAATATTACATTACCTTTTTGAGCACTACAAATTCATTCTCCGCTGTTGTTCGCCTGTTGACTTCCTCTTCGTATCTGTTTGATTCGGGGTGCAAGGAAAGAAATGTGAGGATGTGTTCTTAATATCAGAAATATAGTTCATAGAAATATCAGAAATATAGTTCATAGAGATATCAGAAATATAGTTCATAGAGATATCAGAAATATAGTTCATAGAGATATCAGAAATATAGTTCATATAGTTCAAGACCAAATTAGTAGAGCTATTGCTATACAAGTCAAATTTAGCCTCAAACAAACTCAATTTGACCTGTTTTATAGCACTTACATGGCCATCTTTATGTTTCCCTATAGGAGGTATAGAGATAGATGATTAGATAGACAGGCAGGCAAGCAGGCAGGTGGGGGTACTCTGAGTCACAAATGACCTGTGAGGAATGCATTGGCTATTTCTGCTATATTATGATGAAACAACAAAATGAAGAACATCAACAAACACCAGAAATGAAACAACAAGCTGAGACAGTACTCAAATTTAATGTACAACTATAGCTTAAAGACACACAGAGAGGGAGAGAGGGTAGTGCAATGACATATAATCAGGCGAAAGGGAAAGAAAACAAAGAACTCTGCGGAGCCTTCTTTAACTTTGCAGTTATGGCGCTTGGCCAATGCCCAGAGGCAACCCACATACTGCTATGAGCCCAGCAACACTTAACCCCAAAGCAGCTCTCATGGGCATATCTTGGCCAGACAGCTCATGAGCCGTGGGGCAAATGGCATCCATTTAAGTGGGAAAGAGTTGCCAATTGTTTACATCAGAAGAACATTTCTGGGGAGACGCCAATGCTGCCGTCTGGTCCAGAATTATTGGATGAATTTCAGTTACTGCGGCCCGATGATGTGGACAAGGTGCTTGGACGAGTACGTCCCACCACTTGCCTATTGGACCCTTGCCCGTCTTGGTTAATAAATAATTCCAAGCACGGGATTGGGACCTGGATCTTGGAAGTGGTTAACGCTTCTCTGAGGGAGGGTCGGGTGCCTGCCCCTTTAAAGGAGGCGGTAGTCCGACCGGTCCTGAAGAAGGCGTCACTGGATCCAGAGATGGCCACTAACTATAGAGCTGTGGCCAACATCCCGTTTCCGGGCAAGGTGTTAGAACGAGTGGTGGCGGGACAACTCCAAGCACTCTTGGATGAAACTGATTATCTGGATCCTTTTCAGTCCGGCTTCAGACCCGGGTATGGTACTGAATCTGCCTTGGTCGCCCTGTACAATGACCTGTGCAGGGAGAAGGACAGGGGGAGTGCGTCCCTGTTGGTTATCCTGGACCTCTCAGCGGCTTTTGATACCATCGACCATGGTATCCTTCTGGATAGGCTAGCGGGATTGGGGGTCGGAGGCACTGCTTTGCAGTGGTTCCGCTCCTATCTCAATGACCGATTCCAGAAGGTGGTGCTGGGGGACTATGGCTCTGCGCCATGGCAGTTATGCCATGGAGTACCGCAGGGGTCCATTTTGTCCCCTTTGCTGTTTAACATGTACATGAAACTGCTGGGAGAGGTCATCAGGAGGTGTGGGCTGCGGAATCATCAGTACGCTGATGATACCCAGCTCTACCTCTCGTTTTCCACCAATCCAGGTGAGGCATTGGCTGTGCTGAACCGGTGCCTGGCCGAGGTAATGGGCTGGATGAGGGCCAATAAACTGAAGCTCAATCCAGACAAGATGGAGGTCCTGTTGGTTGGCGGATCGGGCTTCGGAGAGGGTGGATTTGACCTGGTCCTGAATGGGGTTGCACTCCCTCTTAGGGACAAGGTCCGCAGCTTAGGAGTGCTCCTCAACCCAGAGCTTTCATTGGAAGCTCAGGTGACGGCAGTGGCGAGGAGCGCCTTCCTTCAGCTTCGGCTGATTAATCAGCTGCGCCCCTACCTGGAGTATGACTGCCTGGCGATGGTGACACACGCGCTGGTGACTTCCCGCCTTGACTTCTGTAACGCGCTTTACGTGGGGCTACCCTTGAAGACGGTCCAGATACTTCAATTGGTGCAAAATAGAGCTGCCAGGTTGCTGACGGGGACGGGGCGTTATGTTCACATGACTCCAGTCCTCCGTCAGCTTCACTGGCTTCCCATTGAAGTCTGGGCCCAATTCAAGGTGTTGGTGGTGACCTATAAAGCCCTAAACGGCTTGGGTCCTGGCTACCTGAAGGAGCGCTTACATCCATATATGCCCGGCTGCCCCTTGAGATCTGTGGGAGAGGCCCTTCTCCAGGAACTCTCCGTGAAGGAAATTAGGAGGGTGAGTACTCGGAGGAGGGCTTTCTCTGCGGTGTCGCCCAATCTATGGAATGCGCTCCCCAGAGAGGTCCGCCTGGCGCCGTCGTTATTTGTTTTTCGGCGCCAGGCGAAGACCTTTTTATTTAAGCGTCATTTTAATTGTTAACAATATTTGCTTATTTATCTGGCCAGAGCGACTTCTTTTATATTGTTAATTTTATATTGTTATTTTTGTATTTTATTGTATTTTATTTTGTGCTGTGAGCCGCCCCGAGGCTTCGGCAAGGGGCGGCATAGAAACGTTTTAATAAATAAAATAAATAAAACGTGGTTGTTAAACTGCCCAGAATGTTCGGCTTGAAGGTTTGAAACCTTGTTTGATGTGAACCAGCTGTGAGACCACACAAGAAATAAAGGATACTTCTGAGAAGTGTTGCTGGCAGTGGGGAGAAGCAGAACCCTTCTGGCCGTGGGGGCATGAGGGCCACAGCGCATCGGTTGGCTGGGATCACCACATGGCTGGCACAGAAAGTTTTGGCCTTGGCTACTCAGCCCCACAACATTATGATGGGATCACCCATGCAGCTGAACAAAAAAGAAAAGGGTTCATTGCTATTGTTGTTGTTATTTTATTTTTAAAAAAACAATGCCCCTTTCTTTCTTGTATGTGTGTGTGTGATACACTGTACAGATCTGCCTGTTTTATTTTGCTGATATTGTTTAAGTGCTGCTGGCATAATCTTGCAATAACAGTATTAAGTGGCAATTTTATGGGTTGCAGTAATTTCATTGATAAATAAGGGATGGGTCTTCTTGGCAGGGAGAGCCCTGAATGTTAGTGAATAAAGAGAAGCCAAGTGAAGAACAAAATAACACTGCAGGAGAGGCAATGAAGCAGCAACCCGTGATCTGCAACACGCGGGCTCTCCAAGACCCCAGGAAATACTGGGCACCCTTGAAGCCTGACCATCACCCCCCAGCCCATCAGTGCAGTCCTATCATGCACCACCAGTGATGATCCTTCTAACAGGACCCCTGCATCACTCTTATCTCCGGCAGTGGAGAAGTGCAGCCAGGACTCATAGTCTAGAAGCACCTGGACGTCTACTTGCTCCGGGCCTCTGACGTCATCTGCCATCCCCTTCTGACTTTCCTGTCTCCTCTGACTGAGATCCTCCCAGTAGAAGAGGGGACAGGAAGAGGGTTTTCCCAGCAATAAGATAACTGATCCCTTGCTCGTCTACGGGATGCCTGCATGCCCAGGAGGTTTGGCACAGAGGCCCGCATCTCCGGTCTCTCTTTGAGGCCGTGACAATGGGAACCATCAAGAGGAGCACCTGCACTCCAGAAGTGACTGCTGATCTCCAGATGATCGCCAGCTTTTCCCAGTGTAAAAGAGTCCTTAGATACCAAACATTCAACTTGGAAAGTAGCAGGACAGATTCATGTTTGGAAGGTCAGTGCCAATGTTAAAAGAATTCCTTATTCTCAAGGAAACCAGAGGTTCTAAAAGTGGTGAAGTTGCTTATTTCTGACCATCTCAACTTGCCTTGGGCATGGAGGGAGAAGGCGGCCAGAGAAAGTCAGACTCCCCACTGGGTTTACTCACTTAGCTCTGTATTCTTCGACCAGTTCCTGCATCTTCTTTTGCTCATGCTCCAGCTTTTCTCTCTCACTCAAGAGACAGTCCAGCTGCTTCTTCAGGGAAGCAATGAAATTCTCATAGCGCCCTTCCAGGTTCTTCCTCGTAGGCTGGACACACTGGCTCAGGAGCTCCCACTTGGTAGAAAGCACCTTGTTCTGCTGCTCCAGGGACCGAACCTGCAAAGGGCATGTTGGATACAGTGACCTTTTCCATGTTGGGCAAGTTTCCCCACAAAGGCTCTGTATCTACATATGAGGTTGGATCTAAATTCAGTCATACCCAGAGTAGACCCACAGAGCTCTTAGTAGGACTTCAGTGACCCACCATCTGAGGTCATACTGATTTCAGTGAGTTTACTCTAGGATGAATAAGGGTCTAACACAATGTGGTCAGAGCTCTTGCTCCTCTCATAATAATCCAGAAGAAGGGAGTTCATGTGCTTTTATGCAAGTATTGAGGAGGTGGAAGCCCTGTCCCAGGGCTCAGTGGAAGAGCAGCAGTTTCACATGCAGAAGGTCCCCAGTTCAATCCCTGACATCTCCAAGGAGGGCTACAAAAACTCCTGCCTGAAACTCTGCAGAGCGGTTGCCAGTCAGTGTTGGCAGTAGATGGGCCCATGGTTTGTCTGATTCAGTGTGAGGCAGCTTACTATGTTGCCTCTTTTGCTTATGGCTACTGTTCTTAAAGAGCTCAGCTGAAAGGTGTGTTGCCTAGAGCATTCTCTTTCCTCTCCACAATTTGACATGAAAAACCTCATCCTTCATTCCATATGCGAATGAACTCAAAATGCAAGGCCAGAAATTTATAAATTTTGGATGTGAACTTGGCCCTTTCCATAACAGTCACCTAACTCTCAAAGAGTTCTTTTTACTTTAGGACTGTTTCATACATCGCAGAGCAGCAAAGCTGGGTCGGTCACCACATGGACACTCATGGAGGAAGCATAGCCCACAGCACTCTCTGAAGCCTTGGAAGTGCTGGGGTTTGTGACCTGGCATGCTTTTACCCAGCAAATCTAGAAAAGGGACAGACCTCCCTGACATCTCTGTCTCTCTCCATGCTGCCTCTGTTATTCCTCATCAGGAATGGGCAAGTGCATTGGGGGACTTCTGGGTAGCTGTTTTTGGGGCATGAAGGAGTTGCAGAAATGGCCAGGAGCAATACTTGGCATTCTTGGCTTGGTTCAAAAACAACATG